CCCTGGCCACTCGGGCAATTTCTCTGTATTCCTCTCAGGTTACCCGTCCTTCCTTCCACCCTCTGTAGGCTTCTTTTTTGATCCTAAGTTTGTTCAGGATCTTCCTGTCCCTCCATGCAGGCCCCCTGCTGGTTTTGCCTGTCTTCCTCTTTGTTGGGATGCTTTGATCAAGCTTTGGTGCCTATAGTTAAACAGCAAGGGACTGGCTTTCCAAAGGGGCACTTGCAGATCCTTTCCCAGCTCCCTAAGTGCAAACTCAGGTGGCTAAACTTACATATTCAAGACTGAAAATTTTTGCCATGCTGTTTTACCAGGCAGATCTGCTGGGAGGCCTCTTGTAATCAGATTTTTTTTTTTTTTAAAGCCTCATATTATTGGACAGCTACTGGCCCGAGTTCGTCCCCCCTTGTTGGTGAGAAAAAGGTCCAGCATGGTACCCCTCCTCGTCGGTTCTTCGACCACTTGGAGAAGGAAGTTATAATCTACACATTCCAGGAACTGCCTGGATTGTTTGTGGCCTGCTGTGTTGTCCCTCCAACAGATATTGGGGTGGTTGAAGTCCCTCATGAGGACCAGGGCTTATGAACATGAGGCTGCTCCTATCTATCTATAGAGAGCCTCATCTGCTCAGTCTCCCTGGTCTGGTGGCCGGTAGCAAACCCCCGCAGTAACATCCCGTTTCCCTGCCTTCCCTTTAATCCTGACCCATTGACTCTCAGTTAGCTCCTGATCCATCCTCAGGTGGAGCTCCAGACACTCCAGCTGGCTGTTGACATAGAAAGTAATGCCCCCTCCTCATCTCCCCTGCCTGTCCTTCCTGGAGAGCCTGTATCCTTCCATTCCAACAACACCCTACTTCATAGGAGCCATCCCACCATGTCTCCGTGATGCCAATCAGGTTGTATCCCTGCAGGTGCGCATACATCTCCAGCTCCTCTTGTTTATTCCCCATGTTACGTGCATTACATAGAGGCATTTAAGTTGGGCCCTCAGTGAAGCTGACTTACTGTCTGGAACAGCTATAATTCCATTGTGGTGCTCATCAGGCATGCTCCCTCTGGGGTTATTGTTAGCAGGCCCAGTTATATCCACTTCCCCCTTCCAATCTAGTTTAAAGCTCTACCAACGAGCCCCGCTAATTCTTGCCCCAGGATCCTATTCAAGATGTACTTGTAGGATCCCTCCTCCTTTTAAATGATTATATGTCTTGTAAGAACTTAGCTATTTTAAGTCTGCCCCTCTGTCAGCTGTGTTTGAACCTGGTTATCTGTTTCAGCATTATCCTAATTTCCATAGGAAAATAGAAGAAACTTGTTTTTTCTTCCTCATATTTTTATTTTGACCAAAGATTCCTCTCCTGGAAATTTATATCTGTCTTGTCCACAGGAATACTGCCATACAGGAACAGTTGATGTAGCAACAGACTCTCCTCCTTTGATACAACATCTTTTGGTGATGATGGCCTAGGCTGAAGTCTTTAAACAACACAGGCTGAGTTTCCACAGCCACAGGACACCTCAGATTGGAGAGTATGGATCAATGGGTGCATTGTAACATCATACTAGATACAGCACTTTTTTTTTTCTTTCCAGTTCACAAGTCATCCTGAAACCTGAGCCTGAATGGTAGCTCTGAGGTTATTCTATTTTCCACTCTGATCCAGCCTTCATCCTAAATCGCCTCGCTTTTACTATTTCTTCAACTGTGTTGCACCACATGTCCTTTTCACTGTCTGTGAACTTTCACTTCTATGTTGGGATAGATATGAAAATGACTAAAAATAAAATTGTTGTCTACTATCTTACTTATTTGCAAGCTCAACAGCCCATTTTGTTTTCCTATTTCTCCTTCTTTGCCTAGAGATGTTTAGGGCCCTTTCTCTGACAACTCAACACACTGCTCATCCCCCACTGTCTAATGCAGGAGCCCTTTTAACACCAGGTACATCTGTGGCAGCTGGGGCAGGCAGTGCCTGACTTAAAATGAGTTTTGCAGTTGGCCACATTTCAAAGAGGGATTTTAACAGACAGTAAAGAAATTTCATATCGTTAAGAAATATGGCAGCCACTTGGAGGTGGTAGCGAGCAAAGGTTTGAAGGAAACTAACATTTACCATCAAACCTAACTATGATAAAAAATTGAAAAGCGAGAGCTGCTGGAAGCCTATGAAATGTGCTATAAAAGCAGGTGCCATAAAACTGAGACGGTATAAATTTGCAGACTAATTTGATTGCTAGTGCAGATGCTTAGCTGTTAATGCCCTATGGTCAATACATTAGTGGCAATTGAAACAAATCTGGCTTATTCCATTTTCAGCAAACAGAGCATGAGGTTGGCTGTAAATGGTCTGTTTAGCAGAGTAGACTGAACATATGAAAAATTATTCATTACGAACATTTACAACCCACACATGTCATTTATATTATCTGACCACTCAACATAAAAGGTTTATTGTTTTTGGCAAAATAAGCTGCAAACATCCTTAATTGGGATGCAAATTTAATGCACAGTTTAGCACTGTTGACAGCTAAAAGGCTTACACGGACATTTCCATACATTTTTCCACTTACGTTACACATGGTGAACAGCAGATACATAGTCAAGAGCCAGAATTATTTCAGAAGTGTAGTATTTTTATGTTACAATTTTTATATGTTTGTCAATATCACAAGACTGACTTTAAGATTTTATTTTCCAGCAAAATATACAAAGTGAACAGATTAGGTTTTGTAATGAAATCAAGTATATGAGAAATCTTGCAAAGTTACAAATGTCTAATATTTTTCAGACTAACTGCAAAACACCTTCTCTCAAATTCCTTGTACAGGTTTGATAACTCTTAGCCTCTAGCACCTGCTCACTGACAGAAAAGGCATAAGTTAAATATCACAAAGTATTGTTAAATACTTCTATTTTCCAGTCACTGAAGTGAAGTTCAATGCATGTAAATGCCTGAGACATACTGTTGGCTAGCACAAGCCAGATGAGGTCTGATCTGTGCCCTGCTAAATTCAGGGTAAGATTAGCACTGATTTTAAAGGGAGTTTGATCAGAATTATTGGCTATAATCTGTATGTACAGAACCATCTATGGCACTGATGCCAGCTGGCCTTGAGTGTCCTACTAAATTTATTAGTGTTATTAAATGCTGTTATCATTCAAAACTTACTGGCTGCATGAAACCTACCTATTAGGAATGGTTTCTTGTCTGTGCTAGCCGTACCCAGGAGCAGTATTGGCTGGGCTGGGCCAAAGTTGTGCCAGGGAACATTTAACAGTACAGATGACTGAGTTTCAGTGAGGCTGCTCCATTTACTAGCACAGATGTAGCCACTGTGCAAGCCACCGTGCAAGCCACTTTGCACTGGTCAAGCACAAGGCAAACCTGCCCGCTTATTTGCAGTTAACACTATCTAATCCTACATGGATTAAATTGTCTTTAGCTTTTGATAGTATGTACAAGACAGCCAGCCCATTGGCTGACACCATTGAAGTAATTTCTCTTTTGTTTTCTAGATGTACTTAAATCTATGTTGTAGATGTTAAGATTTCTCTGTATCACACAAAATCTGTAAAAAGTGCTAATTTCTCTCAGATCATAATGCTATGAGTCTTTCTAATAATGTAATATTTTTTTCCTTTTTTCCTTTTTTATCTGAAAGCCTGGGAAAGCATGCTTATACCAAATACTATTACTATTCTCCAATTGCTATGCACAAACGCTTCAGGATTTCTACAGAAGTTGCACACAAGCCTCTTTGTCCTTACCTGCACGTAATTCTGAATGTTCTGCATAGTAATTATAAATTTTTCATCTCTTGATCAACATAAATGTGTTCACTCCTATCTTAGTATCAAGCTATGCTTGTGCCTTGAGTTTTTAGAGTGTGTGATTAAAGCACATTGTAAAGTATGCTTAAATACACTAAAAGAAACTTGTAGAAACTTGTGGGTTAGCTGCTCTTGAACAATTCAATTTACTGTAATGATCTGCAAATAAGAAGTGGAACTTTTCTCCATTTACACAAGGTTGCCAACAAAAATACCAGGCTACTCAAAAGTGCCGAAAAAAAGAGGTGTTACTTCATTTGGGAGTAGAAACTGATCCCTTTTGATGTAAACTGCAGCTTCTTATATGAATATCACTACATATTACACCTGTGACTGTTTAACTGTCATCATCTAAAAATCATATTAGTGAAAACACAGTTCAGTAAGTAATGTACTGGTGTCATTAATAAACCACTAGCTGTTGCTCACAGTCATTTAGAAAGTTGCCAGTATTGCCACATTTTCATTAGTAAAATTTCCCTTTGTTGTAAAGGGAAATGTTTCCTTTTTTATGTAAAGGAGTATAAGACTATAAAATAAAATTGCTTCCAGTGAAATTACAGCTATAAAGAGTCTTTTTTTTTTTAAACTTACGAACTACATAAGCCCCTGTGCATGACCCTGTAAGTCCTGTTTTAGGCTGGCTCCCTTCCATATAGATAAATCTGCTCTGTTGTCCTTCAACACTAGTTTGAACTCTCTTTTGAGTAAATATGCCCAGCACATGGCCAGAATACCCTATGTACTGCAGCTCTGCCATCTCCTCAAGCTCCACCCCTTGCTTTGCGAATGCTGAAAGAAGATCTAGAAACTGATTGTTCTATTTTAAGCCAGTTTACCACAAAAAAGTACATACATACCTAACATAAGGATAACATACCTGTATTCTGATTTCTGCCTTTTTACATTGCTACCATGGTATAAAGGGAAAGTCATAAAAATTAGAATTCAAACATGACTATTTTATTTATACTCAGCTTTGTTTAAAAAGTGAGAAGTACAAATCCTTGGTTTGCTTCCAATAAAATGCTATAGGTTTCTGCAAAACAGAGGGCTAGGTTAGTCACTATTTATTACTAAGTACCACAGTTTTCCACAGAAAAATAAAGTGTTAATTAAATTGCCAAACCTCTTATCTGTTTGTCTGTTGCACTGTATGAAGAACTTACTTTATTAACTGGAAGAATGTTTTTCACATTGAAGTAGAATCCAAAGTAAACCATGTTAAAGACTCCGTGACGGCCCAGGGTTGCAGTAAGACCTTTGTTGAGTCCTTGGAAGCCCAGACCACCAGTTTTAATTATCTGCCGAGCTTGAACAAAGCTAGATGGTTGCTACACAAGTTAAGAAAAAGAAGGAAGAGATCATCTTTACACAAAGAAAACAATAACCATAGCATCATTTCAATACTGTTGACCCAGTGTTGCTGATTGTTGTAATTTTATTTTAAGTCTCACCATATTTGTTATTTTCCCCTTCCTGTGATCCTGTAAAAATCATAACTTTCATTAAATATTCCTCTTTTTTTATGATTGCAGAAAAAAGATGAAAGCATGACTTGAGTACTGTAAATGACTAAGGATCCCTAAAGCACAGGAAAAAGTCTTAAAATAATTAAAAAGAATATATTTTATAGAGCAACATGTGGCTTTGAATCTGTGAATTTGGCAATAGTTTTTTATCACTGATGTTGTGCTGTTAAGATTACAAGAGATGAAACTCTCATACAACTAGAGCATAAAACAATTATTCTGGACAATAGGAAGTTAAAAACAGCATCTCTAGTAAAAACATTGGCACGGGAACATGCATGGTGAGGGAGTGATAAAAGGGACAGAATTGGAACAGGAAATTTTTGAGCCATTATGGTTATGGAAGCAAGTCCTTGGGAGTCACAAATTAGAGCAGCAAGGGAGGCTATAAATATTTTGTGTTGAAGATCAATTTGGCAGTTTCCAAATTCAATGATAGGAATAGAGTTGAAAGGTGACAAAAGGTATACATATTGTCTGGGACCCTTTTGGATCCTCTGAGGCTCTTCATGCTGTTAAGAATGCAAACCACTGCTTTAAGACAGTGCTTTAAGACTGCTCCTGACTTTTGAAGGAGTTATTGGGTACATAGCACTTTTAAAAAACAGATCACATGTTAAACTTTCTTCTTCTAGTACTGACTATTGAAAAGAAGGTGGGTTTTTTTTGTTTGTTTGTTTTCTTAAGCATTCAACTGGAAAGCCTGTTTTGCCTTCCTAATAAATTGCTTGACTTAAAAAGTGTAGTTAGATTTTGAAAATCAGAATACTCATTTAAATTCCAATGTACAGATTTAGGAAATTTACTTTAGAAATCCTGTTTTGAAAATAATGCCTAAAAGGCATAGAAACCACTTTAATCAGCCAACTTCCATTTAACGAAAGGCAGAAAGGAAGAAACTTCCTCAGAATCCACTTACATAATGATCAGTTCCTCAGACAGAATCTACCTGACCACATACACATTTGATCTATTCTCCAATATACTGTGGTTAGTCAGAATCAGGTGTTTCCCTTCTGAACATTTTAGATTTCTGTTTAGCAGAACTATAGAAAAGTTCCTTTCAAAAAGTTGTTGACTTGAGTTTGGCTTTCTCCAAAGTGTAAAGGCAGCTCTGGGTAACCAAATATTTAATTAGAAAGGCAAAACATGACTTCCACCAGGAGGCTCAAACATGAAAATATAGAAGAATTTTGACTATAACGCTGTGAATGCGGCTAATTTCAATACACTCATTTGTTTAATAGCTTTCAATTTCAAAATATCACTGTGGTAGATCAACAGCATCAGCCAAATGATACCTATTACATCTGACACAGCATAACATGGCTTATTTAGGTGACTGAAAAGTTTATTCTTTATACTAAGTTTCATTCTTTTTTTTTCATATTTGGTAACTAATATTATCCTGTTAATGCTCTGCATACATTTTACTATAGTTTACTTTTCTAACTACCCTGAGGGATTCAAATCAGGATTTGTTCAAGAACATAGATACCCAACATTGATTATGGTCCAGATACTAGCAAGAACATCCTTTCTTGTGCACAAAAACCTAGGATTAGATCTTTAAAAAAATAACTAGTGGTCCTGAATAAAGTGATTTAGGCTGAATACAGCAGCTTTTATTAGTAAGATATCTCTTGGTCTCATCTTGAGTATGGATTTACTCATGACTCAGAGGGGAAGTCTATCACTTGCTTTACACCTGAGATGGGATTCATCAGTCCAAATATAGATACCTGCAATGTCTATATCTACATCTACATCTGAGCTACTCAAAAGACTCCCTTTTTCAGTCCTTTAGCAATAAAGAGGGCTCTCCTAGACAGTACTTCACTTCATCCAAAGTAGATATCTAAAATGTCAGCTGATCAAGCCATAGAAGGTCTGTGTTTCATCACTGATGATGGAAGGACCTTAGGATGACTAATTCAGATGGAGGAATTTATTGTATAAACATCTGGAGTTTAATTCACTTCACACAACTGTTGACTTAATAGAGACCTAGTCAGTGGAATCTGGAGTTAGATTCTTCTCATCATAAAGCAGAAACTTATATTTGTTTAACTAACCACAACTCTTATGTCAGGTGAGAAGATTTTTATTACCACACCGGTTTCTATAGCCAATGAGTTATCCATGGCTACAGAGAAAAGAAAAAAAAAAAGAAAAAAAACCCAACAAACCATTCAACAAGATGTTAGGCCTTCTAGCAGTTTAACTCAACAAAAAGTCACCATTATTTTTACCTGTTGCAATCTACATTACAAAAGTGCCGATACATGATTTATAGTGGCCTTCCTCTTTAAACCTATTAGCCCTAGAAAGATGATCTGGTACCACAGAATAATTCAGCTGTCACCATAGTGTGTGAATATTTGCTTTGGGGGTGTGCAGAAGTCTGGGTGTGGGTGCATGTGTTCATGCTCTTCCTTGTTTCTTTCAAACAAGATATATTTATTATTTCAATACAATAGTCAAAGAAATATGTGAACTGCATTAGGTTTCATCATACAGCATGAAAGCTACACAATGGGACAGGTACATACTTTACTTAAACCTTTTAGAAAAACAGTGCATGGTAATGAAATGTGTGTACCATTGCCTTACGCTATATAACGTCGCATGCATGTGCTTGAGTTTACATGATTTAGTGTAGAATGCTCTTTAAAATACTGTTAATGAGAACTTGAAATTGTAGTGATGAAGTCACTGGAGTTCTCCTGATTTGCAGCAAAATGTGAAATTCTAACACTTTTAAAAATAGATATATTAAAAATGGATACATCTGTAATTTAACTATCTCAGTAATTTAAGCACTTCAGTCCCTTGGATTTGTTCATTAGGACAAATAGACACTAATTTATAGTTGAGGTGTAAACTAGGTTCCTAGTGGAGTCCCAGTAGCACTCTTTTGCAATTTTATTTGTATGATAATATACTATTATTTTTATTTTGTGAAAATTTGCATTTAAGGTAGATTCAAAGAATATTCACCTAAACTAACACAACTCAGAATGCTTTTGAGCAGCTACATTGTGATCATTGGAGTATTCTAAAGGTCACCAAGGAAGGGATGCTGTAATTAAAGTAAGTAATTGCATAAAATTTACTAACTAAAACACCCCAGACTTTGTTATAAAGTTTACAATAGGGAAAAAAATTAAAATGTATGAAGCAAATAGATATATTGGTCTCTTGCAACTTTACAGGAACCAGTTTGCTCAAAATATAGTGCTGGTGTATTTACACTCAAAACCAGAGGTTTTGTTAAGATAGGTTAATTGTATCTTCACAACTGTGAGGCAGAAGGATTCAGAATCATAGAATTGCCTGGTTGGAAAAAACCTTTGAGATCATTGAGTCCAACCATACCTATCCACTGCTAAAGTATATCTTTGAGCACCCCATCCACCTGTCTTTTAAACACCTCCAGGGATGGTGACTCAGCCACCTCCCTGGGCAGCCCGTTTCATGGCCTGAGAACCCTTTCAGTGAAGAATTTTTTCCTGACATCCACTCTGTACCTCCCTTAGTGCAACTTAAGGCCGTTGCCTCTTGTTCTGTCACTAGTTACCTGGGAGAAAAGACACACACCCACCTTGCTACACCCTCCTTTCAGGTAGTTGTAGACAGTGATAAAGTCTCCCCTCAGCCTCCTCTTCTCTAGACTAAACGACCCCAGTTCCCTCAGCCGCTCCTCATAAGACTTGTTCTCCAGCCCCTTCATCAGCTCCGTTGTCCTTCTCAGGACACATTCCAGCGCCTCAATGTCCTTCTTGTAATGAGGGGCCCAAAACTGGACACAGTATTCAAGGTGGGTCCTCACCAATGCTGAGTACAGGGGAAGGATGACTTCCCTGGTCCTGCTGGCCACACTGTTTCTGATACAGGCCAGGATGCCATTGGCCTTCTTGGCCACCTGGGCACACTTCTGGCTCATGTTCAGCCGGCTGTCAGCCAACATCCCCAGGTCCTTTTCTGCTAGGCAGCTTTCCAGCCACTCTTCCCCAAGCCTGTAGCATTGCACGAGGCTGTTGTGACCCAAGTGCAGGACTCGGTACTTGGTCTTGTTGAACCTCATACAGTTGGTTGCAGCCCACTGTTCCAACCTGTCCAAGTCCCTCTGTAGAGCTTTTCTATGCTCAAACAAATCAACACTTCCATCCAGCTTAGTGTCATCTGCAAATTTACTGAGGGTGCACTCAATCCCTTCATCTAGATCATTGATAATGTTAAACAGAACTGACTCCAACACGGAGCCCTGGGGAACGCCACTTGTGACTGGCCTCCAGCTGGATTTAACACCATTTACCACCACTCTTTGGGCCTGGCTGGAGCAGTAGTAGTCCATAATTTTTTCATATCACCTTTCTGAGAGAGAGATCTCACTCATTGCTTTCTCCTACTTTCAGTCTCTCTCCTTCCAGGATCCTAACCTTTTTACTCCTGTCCTGTATTAGCTTTCTATTTCAGTGGCTTTGCTGCCCATGGTTAAAAAATGTCTAGGCTGAAGCCTTGGAGCAACCAAACATCTCTTTCACATGCATTGAGAATCAAACAGAAATCTATAAAATGTTTTAAAATTTATTCTGAAAGTGAATGCTTCTCTGGATGAGTTATGGAGTAGGTACCATTTAGCCTAAGACACTTGGAAATCAGTGGCAGCATTTTGCCAGAGAGCACCTGAGGAGCTTGGCCCAAACAGCTTATGTAAACAGCCACGTGATAAATCTCTTTACTGGGCATCCCCCAAAAGGGTCCAATTTGTGCAGATGAGTGCTACAAGGCACACAAGTATTAACTCAGTCAAAACTTAATAGTAGAATATGCAAAAAACATGCCTCACCAGGGATTCAGCCAGCCTTTTTATTCCATGCTTATGTGATTTGGCACTTCTACCATGGTACAGCTGATTTCTCAAAAGATTTTGAAAGAGCTGATTTGACAATTGTTAGTCTTATTCACTGAGAAAAGAAAGAAGGAACTGTGTGACTGCCTTCCTTCACTTTAGCCTGGAACATTTTCTACATTAAAATTAATTGAAGCTGGTGCATTCCTAAGAACACTCAATTTTGATGAATCACTGTTTTCCAGTTTAATCTTCTTCCCCTTTCGGCAGTACCCAGAGTGGTGGACAAAGTCAGTTTTATACACTGACTTCTTTGAACAAATCAATGTTTGAATAATAAAACTCTGAAGTGAACCAGGAACTATATAACTATTTCCCAGTTTGTGCTTATAAATGTGAAGACCTATAATAGAAAAAAATTCATTCAAGACTCTGAAATCTAACAGCTACATTTTTAACATAAAATACATCAGTGGGACTCTGGCTAGGGAATGGGGCTGTGGTGTATCATGCTAACCTTTGGTGCTCACTTGAAGTCTGGAGCCTGCTGGGGCAAATGCACTGTGTACCAGGGGCTCAGGTTCATATTTCTGGATTACAATTCCTCACAGTGCTGGGCTGTTGGCTGCTCTGGAGGGATGAAGGTGCACTTCAGGCACAGAATATTTACAATGGAGATGCTGACACTGTTGACAATACTGTACGCATTTCTGCGTATCTGAAGGCATCATCTATTGAGTTTCTTCTCTCTTACCCCATTTCCGTTAAGCTTGTGGAAGATCATTTGCATCAACCCAATATATTACAGTCATTCTGTTCTAAATATGAACTATGAAGTGCATTATGCCTAATAAAGTAGAAAAAGAAGAATGGAACAATTCTCATACCTCTGTGAAGGCATTCTGATTTGTCTGTAAGGTAACCTTTACTACTTCAAAAGGGTTAACCACAACTGCCTCTGTCAACCCAGATCCCAAGCCAGCAACGGCAAATGCCTAGGAAAGTTAAAAAGTTAAAAATTAAGGAGTAAAACTTCCCATACACCAGATCATGAAACTGAATGACAAACTTGCAAACTGCAAGATTACAGCAGTGCAGCAGTATTCTGTTACTAAACAACTTCAGCCTTTGATTAGATGCTGACAGATCATAAAGACAATATGACAATAGCCATAAACCACATTCTAAAAACTAAAAAATAAAATGTCGTAGCACTGTCAATGAATTTTCTTTTCAGCTGGAAGAAAAATTGTGGTACCATTTTATTAAGAAAACATGGAAAAACAATGCCCTCATGTTATCTTTGGGTGGAGTCTGAATAACTACACAAATATAAATGCAGTTATGCAGTACTAGAAAAAATAAAAACTCTGCACTGAGTATTAAGCATAAAACACTAACACATTAACTTAAAAAAATGAAAGAAATGTAAGAAATTCAAATAGTGCAGTACTTAAGCAAACTGCACAAGTAGAAGAAAAGTGTCCCAAAGGAAATATCAATCCTGAAAAGGCTTATAGAGGAATATAGGCACACATGGAAATGTCAGCATGCTCTGCAAGAATGAATTAACTCAATTTACTTAGATGTCGATGGTACATTATAGTCATAGAAACAGAGATATTCACTGCTTTGCTTTCCAACATGACACAACACTTAAAAATACCTTAATTTGTTTGTAACAGAAAAACAATATTGAAATATTTAGGTAAATTGATAAAATTCAGAGGGGTTAATTTTTGTGATAATTTTACATGTTTATTGCCTCCATTTAATACCTCCAAACTTTCTAGGGGCTGAAGAGTTCCAGGACAAAAATACAATATACTGAATACATCTGCTGAAATTCAAAGAAATGAATGGTAAGGGAAAAACAATAGTGAGAAAAATAACTTATTCAACACAGAGTGAGTTGAGTAGGTAATCTTGAGAGCTCAAGAAAGAGAAGAATGGTAAGTTAGGATGGTAGAGGCAAGCTCCAGCCTTACTGCCTTTGGACAACACTGCGTTACCAACAAATCTATTTTTCTAATATGAGATGGGAACATAACCTATCCCTTTCAACATCAACCATGAGATTGAAGGCAGCAGGAAGATGCTGCTAATGTACACATTGCTCTTTTAACAATAGATGTTGTGTTGATATGAGGTCTGTGGAAGCACCTAGAAGCATTCTGCCTAGCTTAGACCCTCTCAGTTTTCTTTTTCCCTTGCTACCATGGCTATCTTAGGGCCTCTGTGGTAACAGAATTGCACTAAAAATGTCAGAGGTGTCTGATGGTTGCTGCATCTGCTATATGAATCAGAGCAGTTTTTGGTCAGCTATTGCATGTTTACAAGTTTCCAGCATATTTTCCTCCAAAAAAAGTGATGATGTACTATGGAACCTTGAACTCTGTTCTTTCCACTTGCTAGAGAAAAAATATCAGCCTCTCTGTTTACAGCTGAGGAAAAGAAGAGTCTGCTGAAAAAACCCCAAGATAAAATAGATACTGTAAACAACTATAGGGTCAGTGAAATAATTAAGAGGAAGAGGAAACTTGCTTTAAATGAGTTAATATGCCTCCATAACCATTCAGTTGCTGCAATGGAAGGCAAACAGAAATGGTAGCAATACTGTCTGAGAGACCTGAAATAATGATAAAGCAAAGGTCCTTTTTTTTTTTTTTTTTTTTTTTTTTTTAATGTCATTTTGGTTCACACAGTGTGGACAGTTATTTGTTCTTACAAGACAAGATTTTACATATTTCCTTCAGTCATCACAAACTTATCTCTTGAAGCCAAAACTATAAAACAAATTCCAATTCAAAACTCATTTGACCAAGAAAGCTATAATACAGGTGTTCAGCATTTCATTGCTTGTTATTTAACAAACAAAGAAGGTATTTACCCTCTTCCAAATAATTCACATTTTTAGTCTGCTTAATGCTCTGATACATTGATAATTATAAGAAAAATGAAGAAGCCTCTACTGAGAAAAAAAAATGTTTAACAAGTGCTAAAATAAGCAAACTGGAAGGAAGCAACAGATTAAAGTAGAAATATTGAATGAGAACTTACTGCAAATTTTCAAGAGAGAAACAACTTGCTATTTAAAAATGACCTTTAAACAAAACCTTATGGTTTCAGGGAAAACTGTCCAGCATCTCTCATAGGAGTTATGTGCATCCTTTTTGAAGATTTTTCTGAAAATATTATCATGATCAGTATTGGGAAACATTCATTACCAAAACCTTTACAGTGTAACTATAAAGACATCAATTGTTTCCTACAGTTGTGATGCCATTATTGTGAAAAAGTATGTTTATTATTACTTACATTCTTACACCATAGAAAACAGTAATTCTTATAAAAAGTTTTTTATTTCAAATGGTAGGATAGTAGAATTAAGCCCTTACATAAGAATACAGACAACATATGTAAGCTACATTTTAGCATTAAAACATTTTTGTGTGTATGTATGTCTTGTATTTTAGACTCATAGAACCATTTTGGTTGGAAATGACCTTTAATATCATCGAGTTCAACAAAAAAACCCCAACAAACCCCTTTTTTTAAAAAAAAGTTGTGTTCTTGAGACAAAATCCTAGCTCCACTGATGTATAAGGGAGTTTTGCTCTTGACTTGAAAGGAGGTAGCAGTTTCCTGTCAATAGTGTATGTTTCTGTTACATAGTCTTTAGAATAAGACTGAGGTCTATATTTTTGTTACAGTTGCACTGTGCCTTGCAAAATAGCACTTTGATATCTGATTGAGGTCTCTATTCACTATCACACAAGTAAATAAAAATTGATAATGTTATCAATTTAAAACTTTTATTTCTTTTGCAAGAATGAAGAATGACAAGCTACATACAGACACTTCCATGGTGACTGCCACTATCCATATAAACAAATGTTATGACATTGTAGGGAATTATTTTAAAGATGTTTGGCATAAAAATTAATGTAACTGTCACTTTGATAAATTCTGTTATCAGTGTTTTCAAGGCACAAGTCTTTTCTGAGAAACTGTTGGTTGAACTGGCCCCTTTAATTTTAGGCTCCTTCTATGGGAGGAAATGGATGGACTGTTTAGTATATACCTATTAAATTAGAACATGAAGTTCTGAATCCATACATACCAGTCCTGGTGGTAATGATGCATATCCTAGTAGCTTCTTGTATTGTTCAAAGGTGAAAAACTGTAAATAAAAGTTAGACTGAAATCACGTTGAAAAAAATAATGAATTACTTATGCAAATAAATAAAACCAAACTACAGTGGAGCTTCAATACTTTGTATCCTGAGTAGCCATGTGCAGTTCTGCAAAATAAACATAAGCCACTTACATTTCACACCCTCTATAGCAGTGTTAGATGTGCAACAATAGACAATTAGGCTTCAGAACTGTTTTTATTAGTGTATCATGCATAATAGCAGTATCAATGCCATTAAAGTAATGTTTATGTAAGAGTTTGTTTGAAAGACATAGTTCGTGTTTTTAATTTATAGACTTTTCCTCTAGCATCTAGCTTTCATATACTGGTATAAATATAACAGCAGATATTATAATTTCTCCCAGAAATACTTCCCGTGACAGAGATGTAATTGCACATTTTTATAATCTTTTACTGTCATCAGACACATTTCTTTTAGTTTTTGCTCTTTACAAATAAATCTGTCACCCAATTGTCTGTTTTCAGTCAGTGGTGCTCAGAAGTTCTGAGCATCTATGATTCCTTAGGGGATGAGTTTTGAAAGCTGTACTCTTTTGTGTTTGAACTTCAAGAAAGAAATGAGAAGCTCAGTTTCACCTGCACCAACATGAAGAAAGGCAACTATGTGTAAATGGTTCCTTTTGCAAGCTAACACTTCTTGCCACGCAAATCCATTAATTTTCAGAAATTAATCTTCTAAATCAAATCTTCTAAAAATCAAAGTGGAGTAAATTAACAGTTTTGATCTTCCAAGAACAGTGTTGAGAATAACCCTGAGCGCACTGAAGTCAGTAAGAAGCTTCCCATTGACGTACACAAACAGACCTTCACCACCCATTTCCTCGTCTGTGGACACACAGTCTAAAATGCATCAGTCAAGGTACACTCCAAAGAAAGGGTATTTATGACATTTTACAAATTATTGGTAAGATGCCCTCTGAAATACAGCACACCATCCTGGCCACCTTTTTTCAAAAAAGATGTACTCTGACTACAGCATATTCAAAACAGGGCTACCAGAACCATAGGAGAACTTAAAGAGATTTTTTAGGAATGAAGACTGAAGGAGAATAAATGCTTGTCTTGTTTAGTCTAGCAAAAGAGAGGCTGCAAGAGAATGAAAAACAAGGAAAGGTAAGATATGTAACATAAAGTAATTGGGTATAAAAGTAAAAATTACTCATAAATAGAATGAAATCTGATGAAGCTTTCTTACAACCAAAGGAGTGGGGTCCTGAAACAGTCTTCCAATAAGAATAATGGGGGAAAAAAATCTTAATCGCTTGTAAGGGAGAGTTTGGTAAGTTTATGAAGTAGATTATAGAACAGCAGGGGACTAGACTTGATGACCTAAGAGATCCTTTCTAGTCCAGTGCTTCTATGCAGAGCAAATCTCCCCCAAACCCATGCTGTTTCAAATTCATATTCTGCAAATATGTTGCTGAAGGCACCAAAAAAGCACTTCAGTCTGATGCCACATAATACAGTTCTGAGGGCAGTGAAAACCATCTTTTAGCATGAGGAATGAGGACAGCAGAAAATCTTGCAGGTTATAAAGAGCAGATACCTGAATTTCGGTAAAAGCAGAGATATTGGAGGTGTTACTCCATGCAATTTTCACTCATGGAACACGAGGTCTGTAACTACAGATCACTATTTGTGAGTGCTGTAATCTGTCCAAGAAGTATTCACAACTTTGTATGCGAAAGGGGAGTGGCTTTTACATGGCATGTCCAATAATATGGGACTGAACAACGAAAACCTGCCACAGATTCACCAAGACTGCATCAGATCAGGTGGATATCTACTGGACCAAGAGCTGTCACACCCCTGTACAGCAAACGTAAATAACTATAATCTCTGACTTTTCTGGCTACTTTCCAAAGTTGACCTGTAACACTTGATTAATTTAGGGCGAGCTAATTGAAATGAAGGTGGGATCCTCTGAAAGTCTGTGCATTTCGCTCCCGCAGCTGAGGCCATGATCCCTCACACAGCACCTGCCCATGCACGTGACAATCAAACTGTTTCACCATGAGAGGAAGGCAATGGAAAGTGAAGCCAATGGAGATGTGTGAGTCATAAGAAATGTAACGGAATAGAGTTTTTCAGATAAAACAGAAAGACTGGGCGACCTATGCTGGGCCTCAGCAAAAGAAGACACACTCAGTCCCTCCAGGCTCAGGTACTACAGACCAATCAGAACAAAACAGCTTTTCCATAAACCCCGCGTACAGGAACACAAGTAATAACCACCATACTGCAATTTTAACTTGTTTAGAACCCTGTCCTATGGCAAAGTCAGTAACATTTCTCAATCAAGACCTGCTTCAAATGAAAAATCACTAAAATCACATCAAAATCATGAGTGAACCAAGTGTTAATGTATTAATAATGCCACTACATTTAAAGCAGGAGGGAATATGTATACATAATGCAAAATTAGGATGTTAAATTCTGAAAACTAATCAACTGATACTCTGACCAGTAGATAGATACTTGTTTTTTTATCCTCAGCAGGGATTATTATCTCATTTTTCAGATTTTAACTGCCTTCCAAATAGTATACAGATTGAAAGCTAATCTTGCAAATATCCTGCAAATATGCTTAAAATTATGGTATTGGCCTTGCCAATAATCAGAAAAGATAGAAGAATTACTGAAACTGTAGATTTTTTTGGGAGGGGGAGGGATAACTGAAGATATTTTATAGGTAAAAGGAAGCCTTTGAGAAAGTGTCAATTGTGGGTGGGTGAGTTACTTCACTGAACTAAATTAATTTCTTACCATGATAAAGTTTGCTTTATTCTCTCTCCAGCATCTTTCTACTCATTGTTGCCCTTCTAACCCTTAGTGGAATTTCTGGTATTCCTTAATGTTTTCCATAGTGTTATAGATCTGTAAAATGGTTGTAATAAAGGTAGAAATACATTACCCAGCAATTTTTTGGTTTAAAAAATGTTACCTTAAAAATCAATAGCTTCCTAGAGTCATAAATAACTACTTAATAGTGACTATGTTTTATATCATTTTTTTTTAAAGAAAACAAATCAATAGCAATAAAACTCAATATAAATGTTGCTGAGTGTACTAGAGTGTCTAGTATACATACAATTTTGCCAAAAAGTATCTAGCTATATCATATGAATTTATATCATGTACATCCACCCAAAATGTTTTTAAAAACACAGCATAATTTTTGTTTTCTCTAGAGTTGTATTAAGTTAATAGCTTTGCATAAAAACCCCCCCGCAGAATAAATGTATTTAAAACATGCTTTTGTGTATATAATAACCAATATTGTCCATCTGGCAAAGATACACTTTAATTCAAGTTACACAGAAAATAGCCAAAGTACTTACCAGATGTCTCAATAACTCTAAGGTAAAAATATATGCTTGAAACAAGATGTCTGGGAACACATGAGCAATATAAATTTGCCCCAAAAGTTCATCTGTTAACCATTGTATTGGCATCATCACTTCTTTTCTCCAAGTTCAATCTAACAAAAAGTTATAAACTTTGACTTTTCGTCTTCCAGAAATACCAGCTTTCTTTTTAGAAGGGAAATAAAGAGAGAAAAAAAAAAAAGTAATGGCAAGATAGACATGAGAACATAGTTGACTAAAAGTGAAGCTGTAGCTAGGCAAAATACTCCATTTTAGTAGCTTTCTTTTTATTTGCAAATATCCACACCAGATAAATACAATATTCCAGTAGCACAAGAACATTTCTTCTTAGTACAAAAATCTCCCTTGTCCATTCTCCATACACTTCTATAAGATACGAAGGAAACTATAACTAGATGTTTTCAAAAAAGTTCATTACAATCAAACCAAGGCTGCTGGAACCTAGAAATTGCCTCTCTACCTTTTGCGCTTTCTCAAGTCTCAAAACCATAGGCATGGAGACAGCCTTCCCCTAAATCTTAGTAGTCATTTTGACAGTGGACAAGGGACATCTTGAGGCCTGTTAAAATGAAGAAAACTAATAGAATAAAAGCTGGAGAGTGAGCCAAAGGAAGCAGTGAATTTTCCATTGGTGTCATATCCATAAGATGAGTGGAAATTTAAGCCAAGCTGGATTCCCTTTGGGTCAAAGCATAGGTACAAACACCACTGTGGATGCTAGAAATCAGAATCACAGAATCATAGAATTGTTTCATTTGGAAAAGACCTCTAAGATCACCAAGTCCAACTCTTAACAGCACTGCAAAGTCCACCACTAAACCGTGTCCCTAACCACCACATCTACATGTCTTTTAAATACCTGCAGGGATGGTGACTCAATCACTTCCCTGGGCAGCCTTTTCCAATGCTTGACAACCCTTTCAGTGAAGAAATTTTTTCTAATATCCAATCTAATAAAACCCAAGAAAAAAAAGTGAGGCACAATGCAATTGCTCACCACCTGCTGACCAATGCTCAGCCAGTCTCCAAGCAGCAATCAGCCCCTCCTGGCCAAGTCTGCCCAGTTATATACTGGTCATGACATTATATGGTATGGAAGACCTTTTTGGCTTGTTTGGGTCAGTTGTCCTTGATGTGTCCCCTCCTAGGATCTTGTACACTGGCAGGGCAGTATGAGAAGTTGAAAAGTCCTTGGCTTCGTATAAACACTGCTTAGCAACAACTAAAACATCAGTGTGTTATCAACATTATTCTCACCCTAAATCCAAAACACAGCACTATACCAGCTACTAGCAAGAAAATTAACTATTCCAGCTGAAACTAGGACAACCCTTCACCAGCTTTGTTGCTCTTCTTTGGACATGCTCCAGCATCTCAATATCTTTCTTGTAGCAAGGGGTCAAAGACACTATTCAAGGTGTGGCCTCATCAGTGCTGGGTATAGGGGGAGGATCACTTCCCTAGTCCTGCTGGCCACACTATTTCTGACACAGGCCAGGATGCTATTGACCTTCTTGGCCACCTGGGCACACTTCTGGGTCATATTCAGCCGGCTGTCAACCAACATCCCCAGGTCCTTTTCTGCCAGGCAGCTTTCCAGCCACTCTTCCCCAAGCCTGTAGTGTTGCACAGGGTTGTTGTGACCCAAGTGCAGGACCCGGCACTTGGTCTTGTTGAACCTCATACAGTTGGTTGCAGCCCATTGTTCCAACCTGTCCAGGTCCCTCTGCAGAGCCTTCCTACCCTCAATCAGATGAACATTCCCACTCAACTTGGTGTCATCGGCAAACTTACTAAGAGTACACTTGATCCTCTTGTCCAGATCATTGATAAAGATTTGGACAGATCTGGCCCCATTACTGAGTCCCGGGAAACACCACATGTGACTGGCCGCCAATGGATTTAACTCCATTTACCACCACAACTCTTTGGGACTGTCCATCCAGCCAGTTTTTTACCCAGCAAAGCATATACCTGTCCAAGACATAATCAGGCAGTTTCTCCAGTAGAATGTTGTAGGAAACAGTGTCAAAGGCTTTACTAAAGTCTAGGAAGACAACATCCACAGCTTTTCCTTCATCCACTAAGTGGGTCACCTTGTCATAGAAGGAGATCAGGTTAGTCAAGCAGGACCTGCCTTTCATAAACTTGTGCTGGTTGGGTCTGATCATTTGGTTGTCCTGTATATGTTGTGTGATGGCACTCAAGATGGTCTGTTTCTTAGCCTTCCCCAGCACCGACGTCAGACAGACAGGCATGTAACATCTCACATGGAATTGCTTGAGTATCCAGGTTCTTACAAAGACACTACTGTCCTGCTCTTTCTATCAATGAATTCTTCTAATGTATAATGTAGCTGATGTCTCAAGGTAACTTAAAGTTTTCCTGGTGTCCTAGGAACAACATAAAATGTAATGGAATAGTGTAAAGAATTAAATAATTCAATTATTTGATTAAAAAATATGTTTAGCATTTAAACATGCCTCTCATGGTCACAGAAACACTACTGTGCCCTCATGTAAATGCCCAAGAATTAGGTAGAAAGCATCCCACTAAGGGATTCCAGTAAGACCTTTAGGGAGTCATGAGCTTTTGATGTACAAGAGGCAGAGAGAACAGTCTCTTTAGCCTGTAGACGAGAAGGCTAAGGGGATCTAATTCCCGTCTTCCACCATCTAAAGATTTAACAGAAGACAAAGTCAGACTTTATCAGAGGTCCACAGCAGAAGCAGGAGAGGCAATAGGCAAAAGAGGAATTTGGATTGGATATAAGGCAAAATTCTTCACAGTGAAAACAAGCACTAGAGCAGGAGCACAAAGAGTCTGTCATCTCCATTCTTAAAGATTTTCAGAACTTGACAAGGCATCTGAGCAACCTCACCTAACCATGAAATCAGCCCTACTTTGAGCAGGAGACTCACCAGATGACCTCCAGAGATCCCTCCCAACTTAAATCTTTCTATAATTCTATAATTATATTGAATATCATGAGGTTTAGGCCAATTAAATCCACCTGAGTAAGAGAAAGTGACTCAAGATTTTTGAATGACTCAGGTTGGTAGGAGAGAAATAAAACCTGGGTTTGTATTTTAACTAAATACATGATGGAATCTAAAAAGCATGATCAGATTGACTTTGACGTGTTTCAAATGAAATGAAATTGAGAGACTGAGGAAACATCACAGTCCAAAGAAAAAGAGTTATTAGGAGTCTTCTAAATATCATCCATCTATTCTTCACAGCCACTTTGCTATTAAATAGAACTTTAGTTTTATTAGTTGCATTAAATAATTTTGAGATAGGTGACATATGTCGTTTGCATCTAAAATGTCAATGCAAACAAGAAGATGACATTACCAGAGCTCCTTTAAGATTCTGTTACAAGGTCACATCCTGTCACATTATACAAATATTATTCCTCTGTAAAGGAATTGGAATGTGAATGATTAATTGCAGACTAAGGACCAGAATCATATGCAGCCTTTTTTAGAAAGAAACAATAAAGAAAGGAAAATAAAGACATTCTGTATAATAACTGCTTTTAGACACATTTGGTGCAACTACAGGAAACTTCAAAGTTCTGAAGTAAAAGACGAAGAATTATTTGCTTGTAACACAATGGATGCTTTGATAGATTTAGAACTTTAAGATGAGGTGCTTAATTAATAGGTTTTAATTAAAAAGGTTGCATGACTCAACTGTAAAAAATTGATGTATTGATGTATTTTGCTTAGGAATGTTACTAAAATAATGCTCTACAAATCAACATAAAGGATAATAAAAGAAAATCAGGTCAACATTTGAGAGCAAGTAGACTTTGATAGGCTAGCATCTATTTCAACTGTAAGAGAGCTGGAGTAAAACGTTCTTTGCATGATGAAGAGTTGTACCCCTTACTACGTTCAATCTAAAAAAGAGAGAGTATGGAATAAAGTGCTCTTTGGAGTAGAAGAAAACTTTGGGTAGCACTTCAAACCTACAGATACACTACTTGAGCCTACTGAGTAAGTACTTGTTAGGAGTGGCTTCTTTAATGGCTTCTTGTATCAATTTATTAAGATATTCTTAGTTGTTTTGCAAGTTGCTAAACATTTTCAGTAAAACAGAATGTCTAAATCAGAGGTAATTATGAGGCTAAAATATTACTTAAAGTATTTTATTAATTTTGATTGTATGAACTAATTGTAATTTGGTTTTCAGTAAAATTATATAGAAAGGTCAAAAATAGCCTAGCATTTAAGAGCCTTATCCTATACTTCTTAATCAAGCAATGTTTTATTGTGCTATAAACAGAGAAGTTTTCTCCCAGTAAAAATCAGAGGATTAATATGCCAAATAAGTTTAAGATTCTAATGTCAATCAGTGGGTGAGAAACCAAATATTTTACAGCTGTCACTGTCCCTACTCATATTTTTAAAATAACAATTAAGGGATTGTTACCTTCACTGCCCTTTTGGGTGTCTCAGCCAAGATGGGAGGAAATATTCCTTTGTAGAAGCCAAGCAATCTATTGAGGAAAAAAAAAAAAAAATTACAGATAAACAATATATCATTAACATACTGCAAATTCTTTTTTCACTTTTGACTAAAGCAACTAACCTTTCAGCATTTCCAAGAACACAGACAAATGTTATACTCTTTGCTTATTTGCTAATGTGCTACCAATTCTATTATATGCTGTTGAAACGATATAAAAAAATCAGCAATGAATAAGTAAAAATACAATCAATTTTTTTCTGAGTAGACAAAAAATTGTATTTAGAGGAAGAGGAACAATTTTGACAATGAAGAGGAAGTATTATTTCATTGTTTTTATTTTCTTCTTATAGCAATGATAATAAAAACAGAAGTCACAAAAAAGATCTGGAAAAAGATGTGATTTCAGTAAGTTGCATACAAAAAACTTGCATGCTTGTCTTCAGATGCTAGGTTAAGTCATCTTTTATAGTTTGGTTTTAAATATGCCTCAAAACAGATGAAGGGGTTTTTTTTGACAACTTAGTTTTAACACAAGTTAGCTATCCTCAGTACCATAACAGAATGTATGTATTTCATCTTGGAAAAAAAACATTTGGGCAATATCTTGTTACTGTACTCATTCGGGTCTTTGCCCCTCTCTTGCCTGGCTCCATAAACACCTAAGTAATTTACAGTAGCTGCTGACTTTTGGAGCTGGTCTGAAGCCAAAGATCCACTTGTTGCAGTGCTTTGCTTTGCATCATCTAAATTTTATAT